AAAATCACTTCAAGGTTGTATTTGTTTGTTTGATGTTGTTTGTTTAAAGAAAAATTAGGAGCAGGAGGGGGCTGGAGAATGAGTGCGTGAAGTCTAGGCACCTGCTCCTTCAGTGTGAGGCATGCTGCAATTCCCAGATGTCCATGTTTTTACTCCCACAGATATAAGCAGTGTCCTCCACACTGGGACACTGTTAACCAAGTGGTGCAGGTTGCTCTGGGTGTGAGGGCTCTTGGAAAGCTGCCAGGAAGCTCAGAGAAGGGACAGGGAGCAGATTCAGACTCCCTGGGGCTGGATGGGGCAGAGCTCTGGGCCTGGATGAAACTCTTCTAGCTGGCCAGTCCTCTCAGGCTGTAACTGGCAAGACTGAAACTGAAAAAAATCAGCCTCCCAGGGCGGGAAGTCAGAGAACTCAGCTGCGGCTCCCTGAGGCAGTTTTACCTCCTCTGAACCACTTAATGAGATCATGGCTTTTCAGAGAAGCACCGCGTTTTAAAAGACATCTTGGTATCTAGAAGTTTCTCCTCTCCTTCCAGAAGACAGGATATAATTCAGATCCAATTACCTCTTAAATAGAATGAAGCAAGAACAGGCCGGGTTTGTCAAGTGTCTCCTGCAAGCCACAGACACTGTGTTAGCTTAAGTGGTATCTCTTTTATCCCTGAAAGAATCTGTCCTACTTAGTTTTAATTGTCTACTTGACACAGCCTAGAGTCAACTGAGAGGAAAGCCCTGATTGAGGAATTTCCTAGATCAGATTGACCTGTGAACATGTCCGTGGGACATTTTCTTGATTATTAATTGATAGAGAAGGGCCCAGCCCACTGTGGGCAGCACTATCCCTAGGCAGGTGGACCTGGGCTATATAGGAAAGCTGGATAAGCATGATCCTGTGATTGATCCAGAGAGAGAGTGCCAGGAAACAGCATTCCTCCATGGTTTCTGCTTCAAGTTTCTGCCCTGACTTCCTGCTCTGGCTTCCTTTAATGATGAATTGTGACCTGGAAGTGTAAACCAAAGAAATCCTTTTTTCCCCTAAGTTGAGTGTTTTATCACAGCAACAGGAAAGAAACTAATAAAGAAATTGTTACAGAAAAATAGGGTGTTGCTGTGACAACCGAGACTATGGGGCTTTTTATGCCCTTGGACTATTTGATGGAGAATTGTGGAGGATTTGGGAACTTTAAGGCGGGAAGTCATTGGATGCTCAGAGCTTAATGGGCTGTTCTGTGGGAGCTGGGGAGGTTAAAGTGCTAGAACAGATGTGGACTGTGGAGGCCTATGGCTTGTGAGGTTTCAGAAGGAAACAGACTTCATTGGGGCCACTTGTGATAAATTTTAAATTAAGCATCTGTGGTTGCTGGTCAGCTGCAGCTGAAGAATCACTGTTATTAATAAGAGGGCAGCAACATTGATGTGAGATCTGTGCTTCATTGAGACAGTGGAAAGCAGTTCCTCAGGGTCAGCACATAGAAGATAATGTCCAAAGGGCCAAGGCTACATCTCAAGCTGATAGCCCCATTTGGCAATGTATGAGTCTCCCAGTCAGGCATGGTGGCGCACGCCTTTAATCCCAGCACTTGGGAGGCAGAAGCAGGCAGATCTCTGTGAGTTGAAGGCCAACCTAGTATACATAGTGAGTTCCAGGCCAGCTGGGGCTATAGGGAGACCCTGTCTCAAAAAGGCGAAAAAAAATTTTAAAAAGTCTCCCATGCGGTACTGGTTTTGAAAGCATGAAAACTGCAAGATTGAGAGGACTGGCACTCTGGCAAGGTCAACATCCCTGAAGAGAGGTCAGGAGAGGTAAAGGTAAAGCCTCAGCTGCAGTGGAGAACCCTGGATATTCAATACGCCAGGACTATGGGATGACATGGGAACTTAGGAACAAGGAACTGAAAGGTTATGTTTTAAAAATGTGTTTGGGGCTGGAGAGATGGCTCAGCAGTTAAGAGCACTGGCTGCTCTTGCAGAGGACCTGGGTTCAATTCCCAGCACCCACATGGCAGCTAACAACAGTCCTAACTCCAGTTCCAGGGGATCCAACGCTCTCTTCTGACCTCTTGGGTCATTGCATGACAAGAGTACATTTACATACAATGCAGGCAATACACTCATACACATAAAATTAAAAAATAATAAATATTTTTTAAATGATGTGTTTGTGTCAAACTGACAGGGGTGGAGTATCCTGCTTAAGGCTCTAGTTGTTAACTTGACATAACCTAGAGTCAACTGAGAGGAAAGCCTCAATTTAGGAATTTCCTACATCAGACTGGCCTATGGGCACGTCTGTGGGAGATTATCCTCATTATTAATTAATGTAGGAGAGTCCAGTCCACTGTGGGCAGTACTATCCCTAGGCAGGTGGTCCTGGGCTATATAAGAAAGCTAGCTAAACAATCCTGTGAGAGAGCCAGAGAGCAAGCCAGCAAATAGCCTTCCTTCATGGTTTCTGTTTCAAGTTCCTGTCTTGAGTTCCTCCTTGATGACCTTCAGTGATGGAGTGTGACCTGGAAGTGTAAGCCAAATCAACCCTTTTTTGCAAGCTGCTTTTGGTCAGAGTATTTTATCACAGCAACAGAGATGAAATTAGAGCATAATCCAAGAGGAGTTTACTGTCATCTCTACCTTACAGAAAGGACAAACCAGGCAAGTGGAAGTTAAGGAAATTTTACTAACAGTTCAAAGGCAATAATGACCTAGAGTTGGTCAATCCCTCAAGTTAGAATCTATCCATCCATCCACCCATTCATCCACCCAACCATTACTCATCTATCCACCCAACCTCACCACCTCTCCACCCAACCACCTATCCCTCTATCTATCCCATCTCTCTCTCTACCCATCCATCCATCCAACCATCCAACCAGTCACCCATCCACCCTTCCATATATCCACCTACCTATCTACCCAACTACCCCCATGTGTTCATCCATCCATGTGTGTGCATGTGTGTGTGTGTGTGTATACATACCTACTCATCACCCAACCACCAACCATTCATTTATCCAACCTACCCATTCATCTGCCTGTCTACCCATCCATCTACCCACTTATCCTTCCATCCATCTATCCATCCACCATCCATCCATCCATCCATCCATCTATACATACATACATACATATACACATACATATACACATACCTACTTATCCAATCATCCACCCACCCCACCCACTGAACTATCCATCCATCCATCCATCCATCCATCCATCCATCCATCATTTTGAAGGTTCTCCCATAAGCCCAGCACTGGGAATTTAAATGTGTATATAGGAACGAAACATTGTCGCTGGTAGATTCTAGGCAGGTACTACTGCTAAACCTCATCTTTAGCTATCAGTTCACAGCAACCACCAAGTGTTTTCTGTGGTGGTGATAGAGAAGGAAAGAAAGAGGGAGGAAGCAAGATTCCCAGGGCTGGGCTACGAATGTGCCCCAAAGTGACCCTGCTCTGCAGCAATGCTGTTACCATTTCTTGGAACCTAGCCGAGGAAGGGCCTGGCTCAAAGTCAGTGGTCAGGAACACCAAAGACAAAAGCGGGGTTGGGGACGGGAAGCGACTCATCTACAGGAAGCTATTCCTCAGCTCTCATGGGTGGTGGCCAGGAAGGTGGGCCTCAAGTAGCTGAGGGGTTCAACTTTTCATGGAAAAGGAGATTTTGATATGCAGTCACCCAATTTTCCCAAGTTCATTATTTTTACTTAAAACACTATGGATACCAAACAGAGGCATGGCCCACTACCAGACTCCCGTCCTGGTTTTGATTCTCTGTGGCTGTCTGATTCAGGGGAGAATGACAATGGTCTACGTTTAATCATTTACCATGTCCGCAGGGTGGGCCAGGTCCGTCACACACCGCCACCTCATCTAATCCTTGCTACGGGCAGATCATTATTACGGCCCATTTAACAGGGAAGGAAACTGAGATGCAGAAAAATCTCTGGGCTGGGCTGTAGCAGGACTGGGAGTCCCATACTCGAAGTCCAGACCCTTCCCTGTCCTGCGGCGCTGACACACAGCAGGATTTGACCTGGGCTTCCACCCAGAAAGAAAAAAGATGTCAGTCTTTGAACGGGGCTTAGCAATTCCATTTAAGCCCTCAAAGAGCCAAGGGGGGTTTTCATGGAGTTCCCAGCTGCCAGGAGGCCTGAGGGGTGCTGTTTACCATCCAGTCCTGGGAGCCCAGGCCCTGGTGAAGAGATTTTGAACAAGGCTGTTTAGCCTCATAACCAGCATGCAGAGGCAATGCCATTGTCTTGGTGACAGAATAATTACTCATGAAAGCCTGGATTTGCTCTCCAAACAGTTTCTTGTGATGTCACTTTGCATCAGATACACAACCCTTTGGTCACCCGTGACAGCTCTGTAGCAATCCTGCTCCATCACACACAGACTGTGAAAGAGAACAAGTCAGGGGTCTGAAAACACTGCCACAGAATCTATCTGGGGCTGGCTGCCAAGGAAAGGGTTAAGCCTGGTGCTTCCACATAATAGCTTAATGCCTTCTGCTGACCCCAAGCTCTACCAGGAAGGCTAAGGATTCCAGCGAGCAAACAATAGTTCAGATTGTTCTGAAGAAAACTAGTCTGGCAGCATCATTTGCCAATAATTTTCTGAACAGCTTTAACTTTTTTCTGCTTCCTTGACTTAAACCCAGCCTGAGAGCAGCAGGCAGACAGTTCTCAACCTAACAGAGCCCAGGGAACAAGATGCCTGCCGGAAGGAGGCACTCACAGGGAGAGCTGAGGGACAGAAGTGCAGACCCTGAGGGACACACCCTGGGTGGAGTCAGGAATGCACCCAAGGCAATCCTGCTGAGTAGCAATGTCAGCATTCCTGGGAACCAGAGACCAAGAAAGGCACACATCTGTCCCTCCAGTGATGGACAGGACCATGAGCCATGGTCACCAAAGTGCTGGTTTAGAACTATCCGTGTGAGCGTCATGGGTGAGCAAGGCCCTTAACCCGTCTGGCCATGTTGCTGAGGAGCCCTACCTTCTCTGTCACTCAGAGCCCCCACAGCGGCGCCGTCGTCGCTCCGCGTCAGGGTTTCCCAGCGGTTACTGCTTGCTGCGAGGCTGGGTGAGATCACCAGTTCTAACATTGCCTTGTACCTGAGCAGAGACAAAGGGAAATGTAATTTATTCATTAATTATGCATGCTTACTAATGATTCTGATTTCTTCTCCTAAGGGTATAAATATCAAAAGCTGATTACCTACTCCTACCCTTCTAATAAATTCCACATCATACAAATTCACAAAGTTTTTGTCAAAGGGAGTTAAAATGGAAATGTAGTCTTTGCTCCTGGAGAACACACCCGGCTCCATTAAAATGCACACCTCTTGTATTCTGAATTTTGTCATTAGAAATAGCATGTTTTGGTCTCTGTTCTGTGTCACCCCAATGAACTATCTTAAGACTTCCCAGCAGAGGGACAGATGACAGGTGGAGAGGAATGTTTGAATTTGGACTTTGAGAGACCAGAGGCTGAGGACAGGGGCACTTGGAGTTGGCTGTGGTTATGACAAAAAGTAGCAGATGCTTCTAGGACCAGGCCTGACAGTGTAGATCTGTCATCCCAATGCTGAGGCAGGAAGATCACAAGTTCAAGGCCAACCTGGGCTACAGAGCACATTCAAGGCCAGCCCAGGCAACTTTGTGAGACCTTTCCTCAAAACAGAAAGTAAAAAGGAGGGGATGTGGTAGAGCAAGTGCTTGTCTAGCGTGTTCGAGGCCCTGTGTCCCATCCCTAGGACCACAAAACAAACAAGTAAAGGCAACAGAACCCCAGGATCCTCCAGGCTGTGACTCCACAGCCCAGCACAGAGGCTCCTTCCGAGAAAGAATGCTCCAAGTCTGGGCTTGCTCTGCTCAAAACAGAAAGTAAAAAGGAGGGGATGTGGTAGAGCAAGTGCTTGTCTAGCGTGTTCGAGGCCCTGTGTCCCATCCCTAGGACCACAAAACAAACAAGTAAAGGCAACAGAACCCCAGGATCCTCCAGGCTGTGACTCCACAGCCCAGCACAGAGGCTCCTTCCGAGAAAGAATGCTCCAAGTCTGGGCTTGCTCTGGAATTGGGCAATGTGTAGAATGTGTGTGTATGGCGGGGGTGGGGGAGTGAGGGGGGGAGGGG